CACTATTAAACGGATCCAGACAACACCGGGTAAAAAGAGGGTATTTGCATTGCACAAACTTGACCTTTCACACAAAGTTGTCTGCATTCATTACTAGAAATGGAAAATATAGTACGGTTATATTTGTATATATAATACGGAAGGTCGTGCCCTGTTATATTGGGGGTGTATTAGATTAAAGATATAATAGAGTACGGTTGTTTAACCTGTTTAACCGTACTCTATCTCACATATATAATTTACATCTCACATATATAATACGGCTTGATAATGGTGGTGTAACCGTACTATATCCCCAGACTATCCGTATTACATTCCAAATTCAATTCCTATAATAATCTGTATTATATAACCATTTATAATATTATATTATTCGGTTTTGTATTAAATAACACAATATTTTATACCCAACAATACTCTATAACAACATGTTAACACCAAACATCAAATTTATCACACAATGAAATTCAGAATAATATAGAAACACAAACAAACATGGTACACCAAATAAACGATGAGTACTTGTTCTATTAATCCTTCAACATGGCGATCTTGGTATGTAGCTGCTTTGAGCATTAAGGGAAAACACACTAGCCTGAAATAATAAAATAACATCATGAAAAATAATATAATGATGATGATAGATAATAATATCACTTTTTCTAATTACCTCTGCAGACCAAATTAAAATTAAAAGACATATGTTAAAAATATCTTGCATGTCATCTCCCCTCACCTTTAAATCTATATCAAGAAGGTTAACTAAATAAAACAAAGAAAAAATATATTTCAAATGGGTAAAGAGAAAATAGTTCCAAAATTAATCATTACAAAAGAAAACAACTATCAAAACTCACATGATATAGATATAGCCAACATACCGTAGCAGCAAATTTCATCTGGAGTGGAATTTATCATGTGTTGAGTTATTAGTAAGAATAATAAAGAAAAGTAAATGACATTGTCATAAACATACGTTCCTAATTACAAATATATAATTTAATATTTACCTTGTTGGAGGGCTAATTAAGATGGAAATGCAACTACATACCCGTTGAATCCTTGAAAATCCCGTTTTAAGATCTTCAAGCGATGCTGTAAAGTGTAATCTTAACCCCAAGTGTTGATGAGGATATTTGTGGTTCTTTGGCTGGAATGTGAATCTGATATGTAATGATATCATATGGATATATACCCCTGTTAATGTTTCATTAACCAGGTCATAAATAAAATCAATTTTACTGCAGGACACGACATGACATGACAAGACATCACAAATGTGTTTGACATGTATTGAATCGAGACCGAGACTAATGTCAGTGGGACAAAAATTGCATTGCAACACAAAAAGTTGGGACATGGAGTCACTCTCGCTACTCTTGTATGTACAAAAGACGTTAATACCCTCATTATCTTCATCATTGAAAATAGCCCTATATAGTGTAATAAAAGTAAGACATAAAAGACTTGTAAATTAGTTACACCTTCGTTAAGATGAATTGTTTAAAGTAACTATTTCCTTCCTTCGATGTTTCAGATCAAAGAAACAAAGTTCCAGGTCAAGTTGATCCGCTGCAAATCAAGATATAGATTCAGAGTTTGCTTTGATGCTAATATTTTAATGTAAACAACAAGTTCCAATTATACCCTTGGAAGGCTGAGATGTGTGGGATAGGCATTACCTAACAGTGTGCGAAATCTTGTAGAAAAAAGGTTTTAAAACACTATTTGCTGCAAATTTACATGCCATTTCTTAGCCTTTTAATGTCTGCATTTGGCTTTGAAACAAAGGAAAACAATCAAGGTCACTCTCTTTAATTTATCATCTCAAGGTTGACCAAGTTTCACGAATCACAATTCCTAAAAAATGACATCATCAATCTATACATGCTTGAAAGTTCCTTTATTCCAACAGGTGGTATCAACATAAAGTTTGTTTAACTATATCAACAAGTTTTTATTAAATAATATGTAAATATGGATTTCAACAAGTTTTTACTCCAATACATGTCTTATAAGCAGAATGCAAAACAATGGTTTTGCACTTTCTTCTTTCAAATCCATCTAAGTAGTACTCATTCTCATTGCATCAACAGAGAGAGATATGGACATGGGTGGTCTAGACATTATAAATTTGTTCCTATTAGAGAGTGTGAGTGATCTCCATGACTAACAAATTCCACTAAATGCCGGAAAATCAACAACTACAAGTTGCATCATAACTCAAAAGAGCACATCATGGTTAAGATCTTTCAACCAATCACAAGTCTTGTACCTTCTAAACTAAATATACAAGGAAAAAGGGGTGAATGGGAAGACAAGACGATGCTCTTGTGGTCGCGCCATCGTGGTGAGGAGGAGAGAAGTTGTAGCGTGGGAAGTGGTGAACATGTGAAAAAGAAAGGAATTGTGCTCTGGCGATTTAAAAAGGAAAAATTCTTTCACTCTCATTTATTTCATAAAAACATGCACAAAAATAAGTAAAACCACATCTTGTAACGCCCGGATTCTGGTATGTATTTTAAATCAATTTATTCAACTTTGTACAGGAACTCGACGAGTTGAAGGCCCCAAACTCGTCGAGTAGGAACAGAATTTGGACGTGGAACTTTAAGTCTACTCGACGAGTTAAGGGACCCCAACTCGATGAGTAGGGCTGTCAGATTGAAACCCTAATTTTCAGGGTGTAGCACCCTATTGAAACACCTTAACCTCCAAAGGATGGCCTCATTTGCAGCCTCCATCGTCCCAAACCCTAGCTACGAAACCCTAATATGTTTTTGAGAGCTTTGAGCCATTCTTGCTGCTTTCTTGAGGTTTTGAAGAAGAAGAGACTTGAAGAAGGAGCAAGGAAGTGAAGGAGAAGAGTAGATCCAGAAGTTGAGCTTCATTTCTGGTTCATCAGAGGTAAAAAGCTCCTATCTTGTCCATTGGAAGCTTAGATCTAGTTTTAGGGCATTTTCTCCATGTTTTGGTCCAAAGATGTTGGCATTTGGGATTTGGACGTTCCATGTGGGCAAACTCTTCAGATCTAGAGCCTTTGAGGGACTCCATGGCATAAAGGTGCCAACTTTATGGCCATGGGAGTCCCATGCAACTTGTGGATCACCTTTTTGGACCTTTGGAGCTAAATAACCCATGCATGGACGTAAAATTAGCAACTTTACGTGATATATCGACCCTAGGGGACCAGATCTATGGTTTGGAAGCATTGAACTCGATTGGAAGTGACTGAATGAATTTATACTAACCGAACTCGACGAGTTGCTCATCCAACTCGGCGAGTTGGGTTGTGGTTCTCCGGCCTTTTCTATTTGCTGAGCAAACTCAACGAGTCTAGGAGACGACTCAACGATTTGGCCATGGTTTTTGGGTTTTGAAGACTGAAGAATTCGATGAGTTCAAAGAGGAACTCAACGAGTTGGGTCGAAGAGTTCTGAGTCTGTAAAGGGTGAAAACTCGACGAGTTGACTGGAAAAGTCTTGACTCTGTTATAGGGAGAAACTCGACGAGTTCATGAAAGAACTCGATAAGTTGGATCGCGACTTCAAGATTTTATGATTCATGGAACTCGACGAGTTGATAGACCAACTCGGCGAGTTGAGTCAACCAGGATGTTGACCTTGACTTTGACTTTGACCAAAGTTGACCCTTAAGGGTCATGAGTATGGAAGGATAATTAAAGGAAATGTTTATGCATAGGATTCATAGAGATATTGATTTCAGAGTAGGAGTCTTTGCAGCTATACCTAGTTATCGAGGTGAGTTACCTTCCAGTAGAAGTGGGTCGAAGGCACCAATGCCGACCCACTAGTAGCTGATTATAGTTGAGATGATTGTCTATGTGATAATTGTTTGATATGCCACTATCTGTTATGCTTTATGTGCTAGTATGCTATGATATTATGTGGTAGTTATAGGAAGGGTAGGATAGACCCTGTTACCATTTGAAAGGACTGAAGGGGTAGGCCAGCACCCATATATGCTAGGCAATATGTGATATATGTATATATATGCTAGGATATTACATGGTAGTGGTAGGGGTGAAACAGTTCCTGGTTACCGGTTGAAAGAGACCGAAGGGGTAGGCCAACACCCAGGTATGCTAGGCAGTTATCGATTGAAAGAGACCAAAGAGGTAGGCCAACACCCAGGTATGCTAGGCAGTTACCGGTTGAAAAAGACCGAAGGGGTAGGCCAGCACCCATATATGCTAGGCATTATGTTATTGTATGGTATGTGGTAGGATGGGAGAACTCACTAAGCTTTGTGCTTACGGTTTTTAGTTTTGTTTCAAGTATTTTTTTTTCGAAGGGAAAGGAGTCGGTCTGACTGCAGCGCATCACACCGCTATTGTCTGCACTATGATGTTCTTGGGATTTGTACTCTGACATTATTATAACTTGTTTGAGACATATGACTTATGGTTTTTATGATATGAGATAACTCAATGATGTTTTCAATAATCTGTTTTATGAATTACTAAATTAAAAATGAAATTTTTGGTTTTGGATTTTTGTAATAACCGTATTACATTAATTTACCGTATCACATTTGACGCTATCTAGTAGTGTTTATGGTTTGAATCATGAATTTAAGTAATTTAAAAAGTGTTAGAAAACGAAGTTCACTTATGTGGCATCTTGTTTCTGCATATCAAAGAGTATTTATTCATGATTTAGAAAAAAAGAACACTATCTTGCTTTGATACCAAGTTTAATAACACAAGAACAAAAGTCCTCCATATATATGATGGAAGGAAGAATGCCATCACATGGTAAATATTTTCTCATACAAGACAATTAATGCCAGGTTGCCTTATCCTTTCACTCCTAACGAGGTAAGAAGACTTGATTAAAACAAAGATTCAACCAGGTAAGAGAAAAAACCAAATTTAACACTACCAAATTTTGGTTAAAGAATACCACCAGACATTGTACAAGGTAGCAAATAGACCAACTAATTATGTATTAAACGTTCATGGTGTCAAGTAAAATGTATTAATCATCATGCTTGGGTATACAAGAGGGCATTTTCCTTCCATCAACAAAGATCTCCAGTTCATAGTTTCCGACATCATCTTGCTCCTGTTGTATTTTTTGAAGGGATACAAGAAGAGAAGCACCACAAAAAAAAACTTTAATATACTCAAGCGTTGAGATGTCACCTAATTCAAGGGGTATCTCTATAAGATCATCACAAACCCCTACCTGTAATTCTTCAAGACATGGAAAGTTAATACTTGAGGCTTCCCATTGTTTGATATTTAATCCTGCAAATCTCAAGAATTTCAGTCGTTGAAACGGCTCCTCACCTGTTTCCCACAGGGTTCCCTCAAATCCATTGTGTGTTATTACAAGACTCTCAAGATTAGGTAACGACTGAATGATTGACATGTCGCTCCACGGTAGACCACACCTTACAATTTCAAGTTCTTTCACTGTTGCAGGGAACCTAATGTGATATTTTCCCAGGTTTGGTTCACCTCTGACAAATTCTCGCTCAACAGATCTCCTTCTGCTGTAGCCCGATCCAATTATCTTCAAGATTTGTAGGTGATGGAGTACTTCAAAGTCATTTTCCTCATCAGAGTAAAGAGTACATGTAAGATCATTGATACTGGGAAAACATTTCTTAAAACTATCTACCCCAACTCCCACCACAACATTTGAAATATTTTCCAGTTTCATAGGTTTTCCAATAAAAGGAAGATAAAGATCTGCTTTACAGTCTAAATTCCTCAGATTCACCAAATTTGATATGCTACTAGGTAAAACCATAGAACCAGAAGTTGTGTGAACAATAAGGGTTTGAAGGTTCCATAAATTGCATATTGACGATGGGAATAATGAAATCCAAATTTCAAGGTACCTTAAGTGAACTAGTAATGCTAAACCGGGGGAAAAATCAATCAATCTACATCTTTCTAGATTTAACACCCTGAGAAGTGCAAACGATTGGACAAACTTTGAGATATTATCAGTTAAGGTTGTTTTCCTATGATTGCACAAAAGCGATCGAATACTCGGGGTGGTCGAAAGACACAAACTCATAATGTCAATTTCTTGATGTGTGACCACACGACGTTGCTTATTTGTGGTAATTACCTTTTTCGGATTTTTCAATTTGTTGATTTGTTTTCCTATGAAATCATAAAGACGATTAGATGGTGGTGATTCTATTTTCAGGAAGAATCTTTCTTCTTTTCCTTTTTCCACACATACCTGCCTCACAAGATCATGGACTTTAAAAACAAAGACATCACCCGTTACATACCTATTTTCTACAATTAGAAGATTTCTGTCAACTAGATCCGTCAGGTAACTGTTTGCAATTTCCTCCAACCTTCGACTTCCATCTTCCTGTATAAATCCCTCAGCCATCCATACCCAAAGCAACGATGGTGAATGGATCATGTAGTCTTCTGGAAACCCTCCCAGATAGAGAAAGCAGTCTCTCAAGTGAAGAGGTAGATGGTGGTAACTTAATGCTATTGTTTCCAGACATCCTTTCTGGTTACTAAGAATGTACGATCGGACACTGCAAGAAATTTTTAGCCACAGATCTTTGTTCCTTAGTTCTTTTGCTAAAACGCCTGCCATCAGAATCAGAGAAAGCGGCAATCCATGACAGTTTTTTGCAAATCAACCATTCGGGACATTCGTCTCCTTGGAACACCTTTCCACACAGCAACTCCCAGCTTTCTTCTTCTGTCAAATGTTTTAAATGATGAACGAGTCCATGTGATTTTGCATGTGCTGCAACTTCAGTGAGGCGACTGGTAAGCAGAATTCGACTTCCAGAGTTATGGTCAGGGAAAAACAACTTCAGCTTATCCCATGCCTCTTTACTCCAGATATCATCAATGACAATCAAATATCTCTGACAGTATAGGCTCCTGTGCAGCATTTTATGAAGTTGAGAGTCTGTTTCTTTCTCAAGCTTTAACTGATCATCTATGGATGACAGAACTTGAATCAAAAGATCCCTCTTGTCATATGTTTGGGAAACAGTGACCCATCCACGGACATGAAAATGATAAACAACAAAGGGATCAGTGAACACCTTGTTAGCCAGGGTGGTCTTACCAATTCCACCCATACCAACAATAGAGACCACATCCAAATGCTTTCCATCTTCAACAAGTTTGTCCCGTATTATCTCAGCATCACAATCAATACCCACAACGATTTTTTTCCAGTAATTTCTTCGATCCGTGTGAACTTCTAATGCGGGAAGCTCCAGCAGACTGAATTTGCACAACATCACCACCTAGCCCCACCACCATTTCTTCTAATACTTTCTTCGAGCCTAGTGAATTTGTAGAGTTGGAAGTTCCAGCAGCAGCAGCAGCTAACTGCATTGGCAGTCTGTCAGTTCTTTGAGACGAATCCATCTTCATATGATCAGTTTTTGCAGTCATGAATTCCAATTTGATTGAAATAATTGATCTCATAACATCCTCAAGATTCATAGAGGTTTGAAAGACATCAGAGATAGTGAAATACTCGTTATATCTATAGTAGACAGCAGATACAAAGATATCAACAATATCTTCTGCCTCTTCAGCTGCAGCTTTGAATCTTTTCTTCAGTTTTCTGACTTCTTCAAAGTTGTGTAGATCTTGGTCTTCGTGGTTGAAAAGGGTCTGTATCATGGAGCCAAGTTCTTCATAAAGCAGTTGGAATTGAGGCCTTTCACATAAGATTAATGGGTTGTTGATCACTGGAATATCATTGGAGTATATGAGCTGCTTCAACTTTTCCATGAACATGTGCACATTTGCATATGCCATCTTGTTTATTCCTCTCGTGAAGAATAGCAAAAGCCAAAAGGTTGGTTGCTTTTGAACTTTCCTTGTAAACTAGGTGGGTTCATGTTTGCAAAATGGGGTAATGGTCCCACCAATCCACCAACTCTTAAAAAGTCCAAGACGTCATTTTTTGAATTTTAATTATTTTTTGAATAAAATGCGGAAATAGGCCATATGTGACTGTGTTATGTTGTCTTTTTATTCCAGTCCAAAACGAATTTCTTTTAAAATATCATAGGTTTGCCTTTTTGTTTGGATACATATACTCTGTATTTTTGTCTGCTATTTTAGTGTTTTTTTTTATCAAATTTAAAAGACCCATACACAACCACCACCCCACCCACTCCATTCGCATCCCCTGCCTGTCTTCTTCTTCTTCGGTGAAAATAACACACTAGCCCCTCATTCTATGTGGACACCAAATTTTTAAACCTGCAAATTGGAATCATTGAAATACAGTCAAGGGTTCACATGGTTCTTAAAGAGTTTTTACAGGAGTAGAGTTCAAATTTTAGCAGAATTTGGTGCTGACTAATAGCATCTGAAACAGTGCCAAAGAAGCTTGAAGTAATTTGATCATACTCCCCCAAGCAAATTTATAGTGGCATTTGGGCAGGATGTAGAAGTGTAAGGCTCATAGTAAAGTTTTCTACAAGCAATCTACAAAAAATGTGACCCACTTTTAGTATCTTTTGATATCACTGGAAGTCACAATATGGGAATCTAACAACTTAAGAAATATCTTTAGTGAAACTTTCAAAAGAAAGACTAATTACCCTTTTTGGTCATAAACAAAATAATAACAGTGGATAACATATGATCCAAAGGGATATAGTGGACCTTTTAATCCTTTCTTGTTAAAGCTTGTTGAATTCTCAAACAGTTACATTTATTTTGTTAAATTAAATCTTTTAAACAATTACTTACACGAGTTAGTCTCGATTGCTCACTTGTACATCCCTGGTTCGGCTCACAATCTGTCCCGTGTCAATTATCTATTGCACCTTAGATTTTTGTGTCTCAGGATACATCTAATATAAAACCAAAGTACTTACTATTTGTAGTAAATCATCAATAAGGTATAAAATGTAACAAAGTTCAAACATTTTACCTCTTTGTATCATGTACTAATGTAAGGTTGAGTTCTGTGAAAACTAGGAAATGATTGTTTCTTCCCATTTTCAGATGATTAGAAGTTCGAAATACCTCTTTGTAATTTCTGTTTAAA